AAAAGTCCATAAATAGTCCTTCAACTTTATGAGTTATGCATGATTGGTCCTTCAAGTTTTAAAAGTGCATAAATAGTCCTTCAAGTACACGTAAGTCCTCCACATAAGGTCCTTTTGACAGTAAATGTTAAAAGCTAAATGGAATACTAACTCCATATAATATGGAGTAATCGTACCTAGTGGAATTTACTCGTATTATATGAAACTAGTATTTTGTTTAACATTTAATATTTACTGTCAAAAAGACTTCATATGGAGGGCTGGCGTGTACCTGAAGGACTACTTATGGACTTTTGAAACTTGAAGGACCAATGGTGCAGAACTCATAAAGTTGAAGGACTATTTATGGACTTTTGAAACTTGAAAGACCAATTGTGCACAACTGATAAAGTTGAAGGACCAATGGTGGATTTTAGCCAATGTATCTCAAACCTACTTTCGTGGGATTCAACTGGTTGTTGTTGTTGTATTCTCCATTGTTAAATATGACACATAAAACTTGCAACTTGTTAAGTTTATATTTCAGCGTTTGTTGGGGTGGAGTCTTTGTTTTTATTTAAAAATTAAACTTTTCAAAAACTTTCCATCCAAACAGAGCATTAGTGTGCTGATATCACCTTTGGTATCTTCCTTGTCAAGATTAGTTTATTTGAAATCTCTCTTCCCAAGATCTGATGTCTACATTTAATGGCAGTTTAGATTGCTGAGCAACAATATGCACACTAATGAAATTGTAGGTTCACAAATTGAGAACATAATGCAATTGCTTACCAAACCTGAGTCTGTTTCACATATTTTGTTTATCTTACAACAAAACATTTCTAATTGATAGTCTGCCGCACTAAAGGAAGCTATAGATGATCTTGAATGGCCCGGGTCAAGCATTCTGCTAACCCTGCAACCAACCCCGCCATCTGTTACCTTCAAAGGCCAAGGCCATGGTGACTTACAGGTAACTGATCCCAAAATATGAGAAGACTTAAAACCTTACTTCATTATTCATCTTACATGAAACCTTTGCAGATAGACTTTATGCACCGCACGACTTCTGATCTTGTTGCATTTCATTGCGATCGCCTTGTCTCATACAGGTCAAACATGTGTCACAATTTTGTTGAGTCATTTTTGAGAATGGTGGGTGTTAAATTCCTGACACAGTTGTTGTGCTAATAGGTACAAGTACAAATTCCTTCAGGCGACAACTTCGAACATGCCTAGTAGTGTCATGAGGGATAACAGAGGGAGCAAGTGTACAATTGGCAGAAGTGGAATGCTCAAAGTTCAGCATCTCGTCTCACTTGCTAGACTGGCAGCTTCACACCCCCACTCTGATTCTTCTGCATATCATCTCCCCAGCCGTATTGCGTACATTGAGTTCTTTGTCAAGCCGGAGGTGGATGATGATGATGACGAGGAACACAATGCAAACTAAGAAATATTTGCACTAAATAGCACTAAAACGCAAGTCATTTCCGTAAATAGCACTTAAACTGTTTTATTCCCTAAACAGCACTTAATAATATCCCATGATGACAAATATTTGCTTGAATAATGACTAATGTATAATGATTAAAAGTGCTACATTGGGAAGAAAAACACATGTGGTGCTATTCAGAGAAAATCATTATGTTTTAGTGTTATTTATGTAAATTCTTCTGCAAACTAATACTTAGGATGCGTTTTATCCCAAGCGGCTATGCTACTTATGAGAGGGTATGGTTTAGATAGTTGTCTAATATCTACATTGTAAATAGTACTTTTAAGTCCTTGATTCGATATTTTTAGTGATCAAAACCTCAATCTAAAGCCTAGTAGGGTAATATTATAGGGAGTTTGGAAAAAGAAACTCAGTAAAAAACATGAACGGTAAAACCAGGCCGGGCTAGTTGGTTTTAACGGAAAACGAGTGAACTGGTTGGTTTTTTTCTCTCTAGTTTTTCTTTTTATTACCATGTCTTTGTTTAAAGAGTAATTTATCTAAATGAGACTAAAACATAATGACTTTCCCAATATAGTATCATATGTTTTTATTTCACAAAGTAGGACCATTGGTCATTATTTATTAGTCATTATTCAACTAAATGTCCAGCATTACTTGGACATTATTCTTCTCACTAGTCATTATTAACTCCTATTTAGGAAATAAAAAAGTTTAAGTCCTACATTAAGAAATGACTTTTTAAACTACGTAGTGTAACTAATATTGTGAAAGAAAGGTAGTGGTTACTAGCTAGACTGATTGAATGTGATAATTTTTCGAATGCAATCTGCCAGGTTATACTTTATAGTAGCTTGTTCATGATCCAGGGCATACAATAAATGAGTCATCCATCACATTATTTTTTATTCCTTATTACTTTTTTTAGGTTTAAATATATTTTTGATCCCTGTAAATATTTTTTCTTTTAGTACTAAAATATATTTTAATAAAATCATCCCTGGAAAATATTTATTTTTGCAAATGATCTTTCCATCAACTTAGAATTGTTTTGTCGGGGTCTGAAGGGAACAAAAAAATTACCTTGGATTTAAAATATTTTAGAGAGACTAAAAATAAAATCGATGATTTTCTAGGGACTAAAAACAAATTAAACACTAAGTTAAAATATATAGCGAAAGGACTATTTGCAAAACAAATATACTCTCTCAGTCTCTCCTCCATGATTTTTTCCGCGTTTGACTTTTCATGGTCTCAAGTGTAATACTTTAACTATTAATATCTCTATTTATATACTTCCTCCATTCCAAAAAACCGCTCTTTCGTTATTTTTTGAATTCCCGAAAACACTTCCACTTTCTATTAAAAAATCACTTTTACCCTTACTTTTTCATACCCTACCTATCACATCATACTTTTTCACTAATAACCAAACTATCATATCTTACTTTTACCCATCACATCAAGGACAATTGAAAAGTCAACCAAAATTATACCCATCACATCAGGGACAAATTAAACACTAAGTTAAAATATATAGCGAAAGGACTATTTGCAAAACAAATATACTCTCTCCTTCTCATGATTTTTTCCGCGTTTGACTTTTCATGGTCTCAAGTGTAATACTTTAACTATTAATATCTCTATTTATATACTTCCTCCATTCCAAAAAAATCCTTGCTCTTTCGTTTTTTTTGAATTCCCTAAAACACTTTCACTTTCTATTAAAAAACAACTTTTACCCTTATTTTTTCATACCCGACCTATCACATCATACTTTTTCACTAATAACCAAATTATCACATCTTACTTTTACCCATCACATCAGGGACAATTGAATAGTCAATCAAAATTATACTTTCCTTATTTTTCCCAAAAGTCAATATTGGAAGGGTTTAAAGGAACGGAGGGAGTATATTCATACATTATGAAAATATGATATTTCAAAACTGCATGTTAAAATAAATCAATTAATATTAAATTTAAATCACAATTCCTTATACATTTTCTACACCTTTTTGCTCAAAGTTAAAAAAAATGATTGCCAGTCATAACGAGAAAAATGATACGGGACGAAAGGTATGTTTTACGGGGATGATTTAATTAAAAAAATATTTTAGATAGACTAAAAGCAAAATCTGTTAAATTTATAAAGACCAAAAGCATATTTAACCCTTTTTATTATTAAGGACACTTCAGCTTTATTCTCAAGCCACCAAAGTGAGGATTATGCTCTCATGCTTATTGAGCAGGTACCAAATAGGCTAAAATATTGAGCAGGTACCAAAACATGTCGTATGTTTTTCTCATAAATATAAGTGTTGACACTGTATAATGTTACAAGTTGGCGTTGTTTGGTGATATTTTATAGTGTTTTTTTGCATTATATATTGATACTTTTTGACAATAAAATTTTTATTTTGGAGATAAATATATGAAAGTTCTATTTTGGTCACCTTATTATGTTTAGTACATAATTTTTAATATTCCCCTAATTAAATGGAATGTCATATGCTAACGTGACACATTTTAATCAATCAAAAGCGATCTAGTTAAATAGGTTTAACTAGTGAGTGAAGTGACATAGCTTGCAGTGATAATTCATTATATTACTTTTTCACTTTTTACATATGTTTTGACATATTTTAAAAATAATAAATAATTTTAGTGATCTATTTTATCATAAAAATATTTCTCTTTACTTAAAAAGACTTCATACGAAAACAAATCTTTGAGGAATGTCTCACGCGTGCCTCGTGAAGCAGGGTGACACGCTTGACGCCTTGCATCTTACGTCTCCCCTTGCGGATGCACTCTCTCCCTCCAATCGGTGAAGGCCAAGGCAATGCATTATCATTTTTTCAATTAGAGGTGTGCACATTTTGGAGAAGCCCAGGGTTTAGGGTTTCTCAGTTCTAGTCTGATTTTTCAAAAACATGTCAAAATAATTTGGGACACCGATATTTTCCTACTTGGTCTCATCTACTTCGGGAAGGGACAATTTTGAACTGCTTGGAATGTCCTAATTCAAATTTTGTATAAACATTAAACCTAAAAAAATTTCTTAACTCGTAAAATTATTTAAAGTTTTATACACACATCTCTAATAAATTCTTAAATAAAGTGTATGTAATACTCCCTCCGTCCTAAACCATCTTCCCACTTACTATTCACATGGCCAAACTTAAATCATATCTTTCATTTATTTTTGTTAGTTATTTGATAAAATAATATAATCTTGTCACATCTTGTTTTGTAAAAATTTTGATGTAGTTGTTTTTAAATATATAAATTTTATTTTTTAATTTTACACTTATAATCAAATAAATTGAATTAAAAATAAAATCGGTGAGACCTCGTAAACCCAAACGGAAAGATGGTTTTAGGACGAATGGAGTAAAACCTAAAAAAACATTTTAAAGTAATATTTTAGTTTACACATTTTATGAAGTTGTATGAAAAGTAATTTGAATTAATATTTGAATCTAGGCATTTATTTGTATCTATCTTGGGAAAAACAACAGTGGTGTTATGTTTTATGTTATCACATTGATATAATAAATAAACACTCTCCCCCTCTCAAAATGTTACTCCATATTTTCTATAAAAACAATGTGCAAAATCTTGATATTTTTAAAATAATTTTATTTATAAATGGGTATGAAAATAAAAAAAAACAAAACTCACATAGTTGGTGTATTTAAAAAACTATTTTAGAAATTATACAAAACAAGACATGAAAAAAATATTTGATTTTATATTATCATCAATCAAAACATGCCAACAAATACTCGCTCCGTCCACAAATAAACTTTACGTTCACTATTCACAGGGTCAAACTTTATTAACTTTGTTGGCCTATTTTCGTCACTCATTTGATAAAATAATATAGTCATGTCACCTCTAGTTTTGTAGATCTTTTGATATAGTTTTTTAATATGTAATTTTTATTTTTCAATTCTACACCATTTTTCATATAAGATGATTTGAAAATAACTTCAGTCAAACATCGTAACGCGTAATATAAAGTTTATTTGTGGACGGGAGGCAGAAATATTTGCCTTTCTGCCTTAGACATTCAGTGTCCCTTTACTTTATGTACCGTTCCCGGATTGAACAAAGATATCATAATAGTATATAGATAAATTATTTTGAAAGAAAAGAAATACGGAGTATATACATACACACAAGACAACAAACCTGAAAGAAAGAATAATTTTGTGACTCGGTCTGATTCCATTATAAAATACTCCATCCGTCCAGAAATTTTCTTCCCATTTTCATTTTTGGTCCGTCCGGAAATATTCTTCTCATTTCCTTTTTTAGTATACTTTTTAAATATAAATTTCAATAATACCCTTTTATTTTATCACTAATCTACTTTTTTAGTACTTTTTTTAATAAGAAAAGGATATTTAAAAGTTTATAGTATATGTATTTTTGAAAATTTTGCATTTTTTTACTATTCCTTAATAAGCGTGCCAAGTCAATATGGGAAGAATATTTCCGGATGGAGGGAGTAGTTCGAAACAAAATTTTACATCCCCAGATAAAATGAAACATTTTAAGGACACAATGGAATACTTCGGCTGGAGCAACGAGTCGGATTCTTGCCAAGCTTTATGTCTAAGTTATAAATACGGATATAACAGAGAAATTTCAGCAATGGATCTGTGGCGCAATGGTAGCGCGTCTGACTCCAGATCAGAAGGTTGCGTGTTCGATTCACGTCAGGTTCATTTCTCTTAGCCACTGCAAAGATTATTTTTATGTTTCATTCCTTGAATTTTCGTTCGGTTTGAATTTTTTTAAATAAAAATACTCCGTAGCAAATTTATATGAACAAAATTAGTTTAGTTCGTATTATTTTAAAATCTTGAGAATTTTAAAATTTTATTTCATTTTAGTAGTTTTAGTATGTGATTTAAGCATTTGATGTTCGTTCGTGTAGCTGTTCAGTCAATATGAATACCGTGCAGAAGGGAGACCTAGATTCGGAATGAGCTTAGGTCTATTTGTGGATTGTCTCAGTACATTTTCGGTCCCTGGAAAATCAAGTGCAATTGAACTTCAGTTTCCAGGGCCTGATATGGAGCTTCTTCTCAAGTAAGTTTGTGTGCAAGGTTTCTTATTTTGCTCGATCTGGAATTGGTATTCTAAAGAAACTCACGGTCTTCTATGGTGCTAAGGTCCTGTTTGGTACATGGAATTCAAACTATGGAATTGGAATTGGGGACTTCAATTTCAATTCTGGTGTTTGATAGCACAAAAATTATGTGGATTTGGAATTGATAGTGCAAAAAATGAATTGAAATTGGCAGAATTCAATTATATGGAATTGAATCTCATGGAATTTCAATTCCAATTCCACCAATTCTGTATACCAAACAGACCCTAAGAGTTTCTTAGGAATATCTTGATTTTTGTTATGAGTATTGAGTAAAACGAAACATTGGATATGCCTTGTTTATAGATTTGCAAATGTTGGATATGGATTGTTATGTAGTACAGCAGTAAGTAAAGATATTAACCATGAGGTATTTAGAAACATCTGTGAGCGGAGAAAACCTGGGATTAATAGTAGTGTGAGATAAAATTCCAACACCTACGTGCTTATACGAAGATGAAACATGGTCAACTCAGAAAGGGTTAGCTTCGCCTTCTTAGAAGTAAGATTATTATTGAAGGAACAGAGATGACATACTGCAGATGCCTAAATATTGTCCTAATTGGGTTGTCTGTATCTTACTTATATATGAGCTGTTTATTATACATGTGGGCAAGACTCCTCTCTTATCAGGCTGTGTCAATAAGCGTCACTTGTTCCCCTGCAAGCATGTGTGGTTTTGATATTCCGAACACTACTTTCGGGCACATTTTCTATGCTGCAATTGTCCTTTTAATTTTTCCATTTTATATTTTATTTTCATTTTTAAATTTTATTTTGTTGAAGAGAGGAGATTCATCAAGTCCCTTGCTCCCTTAGAAGAACATCGTAGCTTGGGTAGAATTTTGGGCTAGCTCCATATGTCATTTGCATGACATTAATATTTAAAATGTTTTCAGATCAGTTGATTCATCTAATGCTTGCATTTATGCTGAGACAGAACAAGGATTCCTGAGACGATGCCATGGGACTGCAACTTTGAACCTACAGGAAGTACACCTATAAGTTTTACCGTCAAGGTAAATGTTCCTCTTTAAATTAGCAAATGTGTGAATTAGAAGGCCACAAATGCACTAAATATTGTGTTACTTGAGTGTTATGCCATATGATAAGATTCATAAGCTTTTTAGGATAACATTCAAGTTGCTTGAGTTTTTTATATTACAGACCCCCCCCTCCCCCCGAATGAAGGTTCCACTTGCAGATGTTTGAGTGAAATTATTTTCAATTCAACTTATTGAAAATTAGTGTAGAATTAAAAAATAAAACTTATATATTTAAAAAATACATCAAATACATCAAAAGTTCTACAAAATAAAAGTTGTCTTAGTTGTTTTATTTTATCAAATGATCAATGAAAATATGTAACAAATGAATACGGAGTATATAATATGACCATGTGGACAATAAAGTAGAATCTTATTGTGGGACGGAGGGAGATTTTATTTCTAAAAACATTGATCTCATGGATTCATGTTTCTGGGCTGGAGCAGTGAAGGTATGGTGTCCAATGTATTATGAAAGAATTTCCCGAGTCTTTAAGTCGTGTTTGGCGGGGAGGATTTAGATGACTTGTGATGGTATTCGGTACCTGTTTTAGACGAATTTTTTTGGACAGTCTGAAACATTTGCTCCTATATATCAGGTTCAAGGTATGATAAATAAGTAAGAGTTGCTAATAAGAATATCGCGCTCACTGTGCTCTCTCCTTATGTAGAACAAGTGAGGAACTTCTTTGGACATCTACTGGTGTCTTACATAAATTCTTGCATGTGCTCTAATCTTTAAATGCTCGTCTTACATTGTGGAGTTGTCAGTTAATTGACAAAACAACTGTTTAATCATAAAAAAGGCATTCAGCAAAACAAATGGTCTGGCGAAATACATGAGCAAGTATTTTGTAACATATTCTTCATTATTAAATGTTCATCAAACCTACTTTCGTGGGATTCAACTGAGTTGTTGTTGGTGTATTCTCCATTGTTAAATGTGACACACAAAACTTGCAACTTGTTATGTTTAATTTTCAGCGTTTGTTGGGGTGGAGTCTTTGTTTTTATTTGAAAATTAAATTTTCTAAAAAACTTTCCATCCAAACAGAGCTTTAGTGTGCTGATATCACCTTTGGTATCTTCCTTGTCAAGATTAGTTTATTTGAAATCTCTCTTTCCAAGATCTGATGTCTACATTTAATGGCAGTTTAGATTGCTGAGCAACAATATGCACACTAATGAATTGTAGGTTCACAAGTTGATAACATAATGCAATTGCTTACCAAACCTGACTCTGTTGCACATATTTTGTTTATCTTACAACAAAACATTTCTAATTGATAGTCTGCCGCACTAAAGGAAGCTATAGATGATCTTGAATGGCCCGGGTCAAGCATTCTGCTAACCCTGCAACCAACCCCGCCATCTGTTACGTTCAAAGGCCAAGGCCATGGTGACTTACAGGTAACTGATCCCAAAATATGAGAAGACTTAAAACCTTACTTCATTATTCATCTTACAGGAAACCTTTGCAGATAGACTTTATGCACCGCACGACTTCTGATCTTGTTGCATTTCATTGCGATCGCCTTGTCTCATACAGGTCAAACATGTGTCACAATTTTGTTGAGTCATTTTTGAGAATGGTGGGTGTTAAATTCCTGACACAGTTGTTGTGCTAATAGGTACAAGTACAAATTCCTTCAGGCGACAACTTCGAACATGCCTAGTAGTGTCATGAGGGATAACAGAGGGAGCAAGTGTACAATTGGCAGAAGTGGAATGCTCAAAGTTCAGCATCTCGTCTCACTTGCTAGACCGGTAGTCTCACTCCCCCACTCTGATTCTTCTGCATATCATCTCCCCAGCCGTATTGCTTATATTGAGTTCTTTGTCAAGCCGGAGGTGGATGATGATGAGGAACACAATGCAAACTAATACTTGGATGTGTTTTATCCCAAGCGGCTATGCTACTTATGAGAGGGTATGGTTTAGATAGTTGTCTAATATCTACATTGTAAATAGTACTTTTAAGTCCTTGATTCGATATTTTTAGTGATCAAAACCTCAATCTAAAGCCTAGTAGGGTAAGAGCATTGGCAACGGTGTGTAATCTATCATGCCTTGCTGATGCCTTGCTACCACATCACCATGGAGTACCACATCACCATGGAGAACGCTCTTGCCATGCATGGCAACCTTCTTTGCGAGTCACGAGTTCCTGTACCCATTTTATTTTATTTGTTTTAGTTTTTCTTATTTTCTTTTTGAAGTAAAAAAATCTGTTAATTTTTTTGAGTAAGTAGTAATATTTTTATGATAAATTAATTAAGTATAATAATTTTTAGTAACTAAAATATGTCAAGAAATGTAAAAAGATAATAAAAAATGACTTGCCAGAGGTTTGACACTCCACTTATTTGTCACACGCTGACTAGACTGTTTTTCATTGGTTGAAATATCCCACGTCAACGTGTGACATTCCATTCCTTACTTGTCATTCCTCATGCTCTAATATTATACGGAGTTTGAAAAAAGAAACAGTAAAAGACCTTAACGGTAAAACCGGACCGGGCTGGTTGGTTTTAACGGAAAACCAGTGAATTGGTTGGTTTTTTCTCTCTAGTTTTTCTTTCTATTAATTACCATGTCTTTATTAAACTACGTAGTGAAATTCCAACACTCCCAAGAAGATAATCGCAAAATTCCAACACTCCCAAGAAGATAATCGCAACAGCAAACAGATGCAAGCGTAAACAACTATTGAAAGAAGTGTTGCAGCTTTAGAACATGCAGGATGCTACAACACCTTTTTCAACAGTCACACACACAAATAGAAAAGATAAACACACAAAGACACAGAGATTTGTTTACGCAGTTCGGAGCAGTATCTCCTACGTCTGCGAGGCCCACATCTGCGTAATAGCCTTTCCACTAGATCAACGTAAGAATTACACTATCAAACTTCAATAGAACCTTCTAATGAATCTGACTTGTCTACTTACGAGATCTGACAACAAACTCGGTTTGTGTCTTCACCAGGCCTATTACACCTTCTTCTTGCTCTGCACGAAGGATGTGTTACTGACCCTTGCTCAGCCAACCAGGTTGCAAAAGCTGAACAATATCTAGAGAAGATCCATGACTGATCATCTCATACAAATATCTCACTGTTTTGTATTTGATCAGAACCGTTATGATCTCACGCTCTCTCCTTTGATATTTTTAGAATATGTCAGCGTCGTCTCTTTTCTCCACGGCTGTCTCTTTTTATAGAATGTCCATAACCCTAGTTGAGATGGTATAGAACTCTTACGATGATGAGCTTGAGTACCAGACAGTCCTAGCCCGCCATGACTCCTTCCTGTAGATGCATCTGATATTAAGCACGTGATCAGGAGATAATCAATTGATGCATATCTTCTTGAGCCTGGACACCTCACGAACTCCTTTTGATATATAAGTCTCCATATATCCAGAGTCCATATCGTATAGAAACTCTATACCATGACTGATAGGATGCTACAGCTCTTATCTTAACACAGACACACTACCATTTCTACAGAAGGGTTTTGTCAAAAAATAATGCCAACATAAACTATAACAACTAACACCTAGTTGGAGCTAACAATCTCCCCCTTTGGCAATTTTTTGACAAAAACCACTATTCAGCCGTGTTGAACCTCTTCTCCCCTTTTTTTTGCATAAAAAATGCCAAAGATATTTTATTAAAAACACTAAGCTTGGGGGCAAAAAGAGAAGAGTAATATTCAATACGGTCAAGAATAGGCACATTAAGAGTATAAGAAAGAAAATTCTAAAGAGCTGTACCTACATCAGTCACCCCAGAAAGAGCCAAATACCCATGAGAGAGGGTAGGCTCTTGTGCTGTCGTTGCTTCAAAATGCAAGCAGGTCAAATCAGTATCAAAATAAGTCATAACCAGAGCTTCATAGAGAACATAGATCATAAAACCATCTCTCCACAGGTCACAGATATGTTTTATCACAAAAACCATGCAATGTCTTCAGCATAAAAAAAAAACAGGGCAGAACAACCCTTCCACAAAAAGTGTTTTAAAGTAACAATTTCATGAGTAAGGCAATGTTTACTCGTCTGAACTGGCACCATCTGATGACTCCTGTGAAGCCCCTGCTGATTCTGATGAAGAAGTCTCCCCTGCACTGTCTTCTAGAAAATCTTCATCTGTGCATGAGTGTGCAGCAACTGCCTTTTGCTTAGCCAGACTCTCCCCCTTACTCTGTGCATTCCTTGTTTGCCTCAGGGTATGTGCAATCTGAATGAGCACATTCATCCTTTCAGTTGATCCTTGAGCAATTTCATGATGATAATTTGCATTTATTTGAAGGGATTTGATCTCCTTTTCAAGAAAGCTGAGCTGGTAATCTACTGAGGCTGGATTTGATGTCGTTGCTAAGGATGCTCCAGCAGCAGCCATGTCATTGAAATGGCTTCCTTCAAAGTGTCTTGCATCAACTTGCAGCAAGGGTGGAATGGTCTCTTCTTCTTCATTTTCTTCTTTTTCAAATCCCTGGTCCTTCAGTATGCTGTAGATCAATAGAGGGCATGGAAGGCCATTCTTATTCTTCTTGCTGCAAATGGCATCACCTGATCAAACACAACCCTACCCAGATCAAAAGAAATATTGTTTTTGATTCTGTAGATTACGGTTGCTATGCACAATGGAACATCGTTGGTATGAGTAGTTGGCATCCAGTGAAAAGCCGCAATTCTCAGAAGGAGGGCATATGAGCTTTTCAGCACTGAAGATGGTACTTTGGATTTTCCATGTTGGTAGTCCCTAAGTCCATTGGTGAGATCATTCCACACAGTTTCCTCATCAATAGGAGTGATTACTGGATTTGGGTCAGTACCAAGAAAAGTGTTTATGACTGAGGGAGAAAAATCATAGAACTTCCCACGAAGAAAGACTTTTTGATAGGAGGGATCATCTTCAGTAACACATAACTCAGATAAATTGCAATAAAATTCTTGAATGACTTTCTTCACATATAAACCAGGGAGAGTGACAGATTTTAGCAATTTGTTTGATTTGAGTGTGGGCAGAAGGTTTGTTTTCTTGCTAAAGTCTGATACATCAAGATTTCTTTGAGGTATAATGGATTTTTTCACAACATCAAGGAAATAAGATTTTGCAACAATTGAGGGAAAGAGTTTGACAGATTTCTTCCCTGGGGTGCAGCTTGATGGTGAATTTTTTGAGCTTCTGGTCTCCCGTCTGGATGAGGATGGAGCATCTGGTGTGGATTTTGCCCTTTTGCTGGGGGTTTTGGCGAGGGACAGACCTCGCTTTCTTTTCTCTTCCGGGGCTCAAATTGAGACTTCATCTTCTTCTTCTTTATCTCTGACTCTTGAACTTCTATTTTCACTTTTTGTGAAATCTCGGTGTGATGAAGAGATCCGGCTCGTCTCAGAGACCATCGGGTAGGTCGAGTGTTGTTTCTCCTTTTAGTTTCTCCTCCTCCAGTATTGCACGCCGAATCTTGAAAGGGAACTGTTGAGCATGCAACAATAGGTTCTTCTTCCTCAAGAATTTCTTCCAGAACTTCTTCTTCACGGATTCCCCCCTTTGTGTTAGAGGGTTTTTTGTGGACTCCTCTGGATTGATTGGAGTGTATTCCAATCGCAACACTTCAGATGGTTGCAAGATTGAAAGATACAGTCCATCATCATCTGAGAGAAGTGGGGGTGTTGAAGACTTTCCAGTCGCTACAGTAGTAGATGACGATTCACCTCTTGAGAATAACTTTGTCCAGGAGGGTTTGCGGAACTTCCTCTTCTACACTCTTGCCTTTCCAGTCCATCGCTGTGGTAGAGCAATCTTTGTTCTTACCATGCTTGTTTGAGAGAGGAAGATGGATGATTTTTGACGAATTCTGAGGCGGAGTGAAGCTGGTTGGATTCTATTTGATTTGCAGCGCAACATTTGATTTTTGAAAGTGCCTCTTCGTTTCTTGAACAGTTCAGGACGCCCCCTTTTTGAGCTCTTTGTCCATGCAGTACACGCCTTCTTATTTGATATATGTCACCTTTTTCAGCGGATGTGAGAATATTTGAACACATTAGCTGACAATTTGTGTTCAAAACTAATTTTTGTGACATATTAATAAGGTGCATACAGACCCAACTTGGATCTGAGTGTTTCAAACCTGATCCCATCCAATGCCTTTGTGAAGATATCAGCCAGTTGCTCTTCTGTATCGACATGCTCCAGACTGACAATTTTTTCTTCCACTAATTCTCGTATAAAATGATGCTTAATGTCAATGTGCTTTGTTCGAGATGTAACACAGGATTTTTTGACATACTAATTGCACTTGTGTTGTCACAATATAGTGGTATTGTCTTCTGTTGGATTCCATAGTCTGATAGCACTGACTTCATCCATAACAATTGTGCACAACAACTTCCGGCTGCTATATATTCAGCTTCTGCTGTAGATAATGACACTGAGTTTTGTTTCTTACTTAGCCATGCGACCAAATTTCCTCCTAAAAAGAAACAACCCCCAGATGTACTTTTCCGATCATTTATATTTCCTGCCCAGTCTGCATCACTGAATGCTGCTAATTTTGTTGGACCACCCTTCTTGTACCATAACCCCAATTTTTGTGTGCCTCTAACATATTTCAGTATTCTTTTGACAGCCTTGAGGTGTGACTCCTTTGGGTTCGCTTGATATCTGGCACACACTCCCACACTATAACAGATGTCTGGCCTGCTGGCAGTAAGATATAGCAGGCTTCCAATAATGCTTCTGTAATGAGTCTCGTTTATTGATTTTCCACAATCATCTCTGCTGAGCTTTTCATGTGTGGGACAAGGTGTTCTGGCACTTTTACAATCACTCATGTCAAACTTCTTCAGCATGTTCTGTATGTACTTTGCTTGTGAGATGAAAATGCCTTTTTCAGTTTGCTTGACCTGTAATCCCAGGAAGAACGTTAATTCTCCTATCATGCTCATCTCAAACTCCATTTCCATGGTCTTTACAAACTTGTCAACATGCTGCTTTGAGGTAGACCCAAAAATAATATCATCAACATATATTTGAGCAATGAGAATGTCAGATTTGTACTTCTTGTAGAACATGGTGCTATCTTCTCCTCCCCTTTCATATCCTTCCTTGAGAAGATAAGTGGTCAGCCTCTCATACCATGCACGTGGAGCTTGCTTCAACCCGTAAAGAGCTTTCTTCAGTCTGTAAACATGATCTGGATGTTTTGGATCTTCGAACCCTTTTGGTTGAGAGACATATACTTCTTCTCTAAGATAGCCATTTAGAAATGCAGTCTTCACATCCATCTGGTAGAGTTTCATGTCAAGGATGCATGCCATACTGATTAACATGCGAATGGATTCCAGCCTTGCAACTGGAGCAAATGTTTCTTCAAAATCGATTTCCTCGACTTGTGTATAACCTTGAGCTACCAGCCTTGCTTTATTCCTGACTACCTTCCCATCTTCATCTGTTTTGTTTCGAAAAATCCATTTTGTCCCAATAACATTAACACCTTCTGGTTTTGGAACCAGCTCCCATACATTGTTGCGTTCGAAATGTCCCAGCTCTTCTTGCATAGAATCTATCCATGGTTCTTCTTTAAGAGCTTCCCTTATGTTCTTTGGCTCAACTGAGGAGGTATAGAAAGCATTTATCATCTGGACAAAATCTATCTTCTTTTTCCGAGTCTGAATGCCTTCTCTTGGATTTCCTATTATATTTCCTGGTGGATGATTTTTATGAACATGTGCGGGTATCCCTGTTGATCCCTCTGGTGTTCCAGATGACTCCTCTGATCCTGTAGTTTGATCCTCCTCATGATTTATTTGTTCTTCAGACCCTGCTTCTTCCTGTTCTGAAACTGTCTCAGTTTGTGTTTCAGCAGTTTCAGAGTCATCACTGCACCTTCTTGGTATTTGATCATCTACCACCACATTTATTGATTCAATTATATTCCTGGTTCTTTTGAGCAAGACTCTGTACGCCTTGCTGTTAGGTGAGTAGCCTACGAATATTGCTTCTTCACTTTTGGCCTCGAACTTTCCTTTCTGTTGTCTATCTCGTAGGACATAACATTTTGCTCCAAAAATGTGGAAGTGTGCAAGATTTGGAGTTCTTCCTTTCCATAACTCATATGGTGTAGCCTTTGTGCCGCTCCTGATGTATACCCTGTTTATCGTATAGCATGCTGTATGAACTGCTTCAGCCCATAGGTTCTGAGCCAAGTTTTGAGTGTTTATCATTGTGCGGGCCATCTCTTGTACATGTCTGTTCTTTCTCTCAGCAATCCCATTCTGTTGTGAGGTTTTTGGAGCAGAGAACTCATGCTGAATTCCCATGCTGAATTCCTTCCTTGTCGCAGAACTCACTAAAGGGCTGACTTTCAAATTCCCCCCCATGATCACTCCTTACCCGAATGACCTTTCTGATCTTGAGTTGTTTCTCATTCTGCACTTTGTTGCACAATATGACAAAGGCTTCTAGTGCGTCATCTTTATGTCTCAAGAAGCTTACCCAGGAATATCTTGTGTAATCATCCACCACTATGAGCACAAACCTCTTCCCTCTGATGCTTTCAGTCTTCATTGGTCCAAAGAGATCAATATGTATCAACTCCAATGGTCTTGTGGTGGATTGGTATACTTTTTTGGGATGGCTTACTCGTGTTTGTTTCCCTTTTTGACATGGACCACATACTTCTCCTTCTAGTCTCTTTATCTTGGGCAATCCTCGAAGTACATCAGAATTTGAGAGAGTTGTGAGATCTTTAAAGTTTAGATGACCAAGCCTGTAGTGTGACTCGCAGGAAAGCACAGAACATTAGGAGTGACTTTGTAGCAGTTGTCAGTTGTTCTGTCACCTTTTAGTACCACCAGTTTGTTTTTATCTTTCACACGACACTTTTGCTAAGTAAATGTGACCTCCAGCCCTTGATCACATATCTGGCTGATGCTAAGTAGGTTTACCTGAAGTCCTTGTACAAGCCACACATTCTTGATCGGTGGGAGTCCTGAGACGTTTAGTATTCCACACCCAACGATTTTGCCTTGTGCTCCACCACCAAACCTGACATTTCCTCCTTCAACTGAGTTGATGTTAGTAAGATTCTGTCTGAAACCAGTCATATGATGAGAACATCCACTATCCAGTAACCACTGATCCGGAGTGACTTTGAGGCATGAATTTTCAACCATGACCCTTTGCTTTGGAACCCAGATCTGCTTAATCTTCTGAGTTCTTGATCTTTTGTTTTTGAGCCTCTGGCATGCCCTCTTGATATGTCCCCATCTTCTGCAGTAGTAACATCTGTACTTTTGATAGGTCAATGAGTTCCTTCTGTGATGTTTGATACTGTAGCTCCTGATTGGTTTTACTGCTCGGTAATAGCTGTTTCTGATGTTCTTAGCAATTTTCACACTATCTTCTTCGAGTGGATTATTTGTTTTCGTGTTGCTATCACAACCAATTCCTTGTCTATCTCTAGGTGCTTTGAACAGTAATTCTTGTGCATCCAGTACTTCAGCTCCAGCTATCTTCATCCACTTAATGTAGTCCTTGAGCTTTTGCAGTTCAAACTTCAGATCTGCATTATCTGTTTCTGCTTTTTCTAGATTCTGCTTCAGAACCTTTAGATCAAATGTCAGCTGATTTTTTTCCGCTATATTTCTTCTGTTAACCATAAGCAGTTCAGTCCACTTTTCTTGAAGATCCATGTGTTGCTCAACTAGATCGTCTGACTCTGATTGTGAGATAAAAGCACAAATGCTTTCTTCACAACCTTGATCTTCGTCAGTATCCTCATCACTCCAGGTTATTGAAAATGCTTGTCTCTTCTTTTTAAGGTTGTTTGTACATTCAGTCTGGATATGCCCATGACCACCACATTCAAAGCACAGCGGCCCTTTGTACTTGGAGCTGTTATCATAGGACTTTCCTTCTTTGAAACGTGACTCCCTGAAAGTGGATGTCTTAGAAGGTCCTTCTTGAATTGGATTCTTTCCCTTCTTTTGAATCCACTTCTTTTTGAACTGCTTTGTGAATAGGGACAGCTGTTCTTGAAATTCTTCATCAAATGCTAAAACATCTTCACTATCACCCTCCAGATCTGTTCCTAGAAAGGCGATTTGCTTCTCAGGTTTTCGTCTCTTGCTATCCTCTTTCATATTTGATTCGATTATTTCCAGATTACCCATCAAAGCATCAAGAGTCATCTTCTTTGCATCATGTGATTGAGAGATTGCCTTGACATCCATATCAAACCTCTCTGGTAGTGATTTCAGCACTTTTAGAACAAGTTTTGATTCTGGAAACAGCTCTTGTAATCTGGCTGCTTGATTTGCAAGGTCACGGACTCTTCCATGGAATTCTACAATAATTTCTTTCTCATCCATTCGCAAATTTTCATATTGTGTCATGAGAATCTGATACTTTGCAATTTTGACCTTCTCATCACCTTCATGTGTGACTTCAAGAATATCCCATGCTTCCTTTGCACTAATACAGTTTGATATGAGACGGTATTGTGTTGCATCAACTGCACCAAAAATAGCATTTAGAGCTTTGTCATTATGTTCAGCAGCGAGGACTTCAGCTCTACTATAGTCTTCAAATTTCTTGATAGTTGACGTAGTCAGGTCATCTGAGTACTTGATTGGTTCTGTCCAGCCAGTTTCCACAGTCCTCCATACTCCTCCTCCTTGTGATTTCAAGAATGCCCTCATACGCCCTTTCCAGAAGTTGTAGTTGTGACAACGCAGCAGGGGTGGCCTGGAAACACTGGCTCCTTCCTCCATGTCTCCCATGATTTGTGATCGTTGAAAGCTAATAATTTAAGCTTAACAGGCTCTGATACCAATTGAAATTCCAACACTCCCAAGAAGATAATCCCAAAATTCCAACACTCCCAAGAAGATAATCGCAACAGCAAACAGATGCAAGCGTAAACAACTATTGAAAGAAGAGTTGCAGCTTTAGAACATCCAGGATGCTACAACACCTTTTTCAACAGTCACACACACAAACAGAAAAGATAAACACACAAAGACAGAGATTTGTTTATGCAGTTCGGAGAAGTATCTCCTACGTCTTCGAGGCCCACATCCGTGTAATAGCCTTTCCACTAGATCAACGTAAGAATTACACTATCAAACTTCAATAGAACTTTCTAATGAATCTGACTTGTCTACTTACGAGATCTGACAGCAAACTCGGTTTGTGTCTTCACCAGGCCTATTACACCTTCTTCTTGCTCTGCACGAAGGATGTGTTACTGACCCTTGCTCTGCCAACCAGGTTGCAACAGCTGAACAATATCTAGAGAAGATCCATGACTGATCTTCTCATACAAATCTCTCACTGTTTTGTATTTGATCAGAACCATTATGATCTCACGCTCTCTCCTTTGATATTTTTAGAATATGTCAGCGTCGTCTCTTTTCTCCACGGCTGTCTCTTTTTATAGAATGTCCATAACCCTAGTTGAGATGGTATAGAACTCTTACGATGATGAGCTTGAGTACCAGACAGTCCTAGCCTGCCATGACTCCTTCCCGTAGATGCATCTGATATTAAGCACGTGATCAAGAGATAATCAATTGATGCATATCTTCTTGAGCCTGGACACCTCACGAACTCCTTTTGATATATAAGTCTCCATATATTCAGAGTCCATATCGTATAGAAACTCTATACCATGACTGATAGGATGCTACAGCTCTTATCTTAACACAGACACACTACCATTTCTACAGAAGGGTTTTGTCAAAAAATAATGCCAACATAAACTATAACAACTGACACCTAGTTGGAGCTAACACGTAGTGTGTTGATACAACAATAGGAGCCACACCCTAAAAAAAGCTAGCTGTTAAGGTAGGAGAACCTTTGGCTATATAAACTCATCACCAAGTCCTCCATTTAATCGGTGTAGGACAATCTACTCAGTCCATATCATGTGTAACTAATATTTTGAAAGAAAGGGAGTCGTTAGTAGCTAGACTGATTGAATGTGATAATCCTTCGAATTCAATCTGCCAGGTTATTATTGTAGCTTGTTCATGATCCAGGGCATACAATAAATGGGTCATCCATCACATTATTTTTTATTCCTTATTACTTTTTTTAGGTTTAAATATACTTTTGATCCCTGTAAATATTTTTTCTTTTAGTACTAAAATATATTTTAATAAAATCATCCCTGGAAAATATTTATTTTTGCAAATGTTCTTTCCATCAACTTAGAATTATTTTGTCGGGGTCTAAAGGGAACAAAAAAATTACCTTGGATTTAAAATATTTTAGAGAGACTAAAAATAAATCGATGATATTCTAGGGACTAAAAACAAATTAAACACTAAGTTAAAATATATAGTGAAAGGACTATTTGCAAAACAAATATACTCTCTCCTTCTCATGATTTTTTCGGCATTTGACTTTTCATGGTCTCAAGTGTAATACTTTGACTATTAATATCTCTATTTATATATATATTCATACATTACTAAAATATGATATATCAAAAGTGCATGTTAAAATAAATCAATTAATATTAAATTTAAATCACAATTCCGTATACATTTTCTACAACTTTTTGCTCAAAGTGAAAAAAAATGATTGCCATCCAGTCATAACGAGAAAAATGATACGGGATGGAAGGTATATTTTACGGGGATGATATAATTAAAAAAATATTTTAGATAGACTAAAGGCAAAATATGCTAAATTTATAAAGACGACCAAAAACATATTTAACCGTTTTTTATTATTAAGGACACTTCAGCTTTATTCTCAAGCCACCAAAGTGAGGATTATGCTCTCAGTGCCTATTGATTTTCTATTTTTTCTTATAAGAAATCTATGCAAATAGGCTAAAATATTGAACGTGTACCAAAACATGTCGTATGTTTTTGTCTCATAAATATAAGTGCATGTTGACACTGTGTAATGTTACAAGTTGGCTTTGTTTGGTGATATTTTAGTGTTTTTTTTTGCATTATATATTGATACTTTTTGACAGTAAAATTTTTATTTTGGAGATAAATATATGAAAGTTCTATTTTGGAGATAAATCATTACTTTTGTCACTTTTTACATATGTTTTGACATATTTTAAAAATTATAAATTATTCTAGTTATCTATTTTATCATAAAAATATTTCTCTTTACTTAAAAAAAACTTCATAGGAAAAGAGTAAATTCCATAATTGGTCCTTTATAACAGGGGGTTTCCCTATTTAGTCCTCTATTATCAAATATTATCCAGTGGTCCTTTTTTATGAGTATCTTTCCACAAATAGTCCTTTTTTGATCTTCTATCATGTTGGTGTTAATTTGAGGGCTAAAAGTTTAATTTCACAATGATAATATATCTTTTTTGTCATATAAATCTTTGAGGAATGTCTCATGCGTGCCTCGTGAAGCAGGGTGACACGCTTGACGCCTTGCATCTTACGTCTTCCCTTGCGGCAGCACTGTCTCCCTCCAATCGGTGAAGGCCAAGGCAATGCATTATCATTTTTTCGATTAGAGGTGTGCACGGGTCGGAGTAGCCCAGGGTTTTGGGTTTCTCACTTCTAGTCCGATTTTTCAAAACCATGTCAAAATAATTTGGAACCCGATATTTTCCTACTTGGTCTCATCTACTTCGGGAAGGTACAATTTTAAACGGCTTCGAACGTCCTAATTCAAATTTTGTGTAAACATTAAACCTAAAAAAAATTTCTTAACTCGTAAAATTATTTAAAGTTTTATACACACATCTCTAATAAATTCTTAAATAAAGTGTATGTAATACTCCCTCCGTCCTAAACTATCTTCCCACTTACTATTCACATGACCCCAAACTTAGATCACCTCTTTCATCTATTTTTGTTAGTTATTTGATAAAATAATATAATCTTTTCACATCTTGTTCTGTAAAAAATTTGATGTAGTTTTTAAATTTATAATTTTTATTTTTTAATTTTACACTTATAATCAAATAAATTGAATTAAAAATAAAATCGGTCAAATCTCGTAAACACAAACGGGAATTGAAGATGATTTTAAGACGAATGGAGTAAAACCTAAAAAAACATTTTAAAGTAACATTTTAGTTTACACATTTTATGAAATTGTATGAAAAGTAATATGAGTTAATATTTGAATCTAGGCATTTATTTGTATCTATCTTGGGAAAAACAAAAGTTGTGTTATTTTTTATGTTATCACCTCGATATAATAGATAAATACTCTCCCCCTCTCAAAATGTTACTCTGTATTTTCTATAAAAACAATGTGCAAAATCTTGATATTTTTTAAATAATTTTATTTATAAATGGGTATGAAAATAAAAAACAAAACTCACATAGTTGGTATATTTAAAAAACTATTTTAGAAATAATACAAAACAAGAAGTGACAAAAATATTTTAATTTATATTATCATCAATCAAAACCTGCAAACAAATATAATAAAAAGTATAGAGATATCGTAATAGTAAATAGATAAATTATTTTGAAAGAAAAGAAATATATACATACACACAAGACAACAAACCAGAAAGAGAATAATCAATCGTGCTATGGGTACACCACTTTGTACCTCAGTGGTGTACCCCATATACCCCCCACCCTACATACGACTAAATCCCACCCTCATACCTTTGTTTTGTCTCTCTCCTCTGTCCTCTCTCACCCACCCATTCTTTTCCCCCTTTTTTCTTCTCATTTCCCGCGGAAAAAAAATCCCAGCATCATCGGCATGTTAGCATCATTGGAGAAAGGGAACAAGTGCGACGGCTAGTTAGCATCATCGGAGAAAGGGAACACGAAGAGGAAAGAACCAAGGCTTGAGAATTGAAGAACGATCACCCAAGGCCGATGCATTTCCAAGTAAAATTTCAGATTCGAAGTTTAACTACGGGAGAATGTATGAAGCTACGTCAACATCTCCTATTATCGCAGGTGATTATTTATTATTGCACTAGTACTATATGTTTGTGTTATGTTACAGTTTAGTTATAAACAGGTAGAAAGAGTTGGTTCATTGAAAAGACTTTTTACCCCTGGATTCTTAGACTTTAAAGAAGTGTTGGTTATGGTTAATTTACTAGCAATAATTTCAGAAACATTCTCTGCATAACATTAGACATATGATTCCTATTAAATTGAAAGCTGTTGTTGGGAATTTATTATATGCTTTTAGTTATGATTTGGACCAGCAATTAGGAGTGTGCAAGGATATACGTTGTAGGTTTGACCTGGTTGGGCATTTATTATCTGCTCCTTTCAAGTGTAATTGTTTTACACCAACAATTATGTCAGTGCAATAAGGCCGTATGTAGGTATCACCTACGGATAATGTCATGTTGGATCATAATTCTTTGGTTTTAGTTTTATTTGTTTTGCCCCTGCAATGAGGTAGGATGTGCGTTTAACCTACAGTACTTGTAAGGTTGGGCAGTTATCCTCTCCTTTCAGTTATGTGTTGCACCAACAAAATATATCTGTGCAATGTGGAAGACTGTTGTAGCTTTCACCATCAATACATGTCTGTGCAATATGTTAGCATGATTAAAGTTGTATTTTTTACGTGCAGGCATTTTAGAGGGCAATGACAACTTGAATGTCGGAAGTAGTTTCATGAGTATATTTGAAAACGACAGTAGTAAGTAATGACATGCATATATTAGGTGTGACCATTAATTTATATGAGTTCTAAAGTAATTTTGTAATTGTTGATGTCAGGCCTATATGAAGGGGTTGAGAATTTGGGAATTGGGCCTGCTTTGGTGGGCTTTTTTAGAGAAGAATGTGAAGCACATGAAATGTGTGACTTTGGTGGTGATGGAGTAATATTGAACCCACATCCCAGTAAGTTCTTTAGTGTATATGAGTCGTGTAAAAATACTTTGTGTTCTTTAAGATATAATTTA